CTCCAACTGTGCCGTGCATTTGGGGCAACCATTAATTATTTGTAAATTGAGTCAATTTTTGTAGTTTATTCTGCAGATATCGGTAAAATATAAGTATGGCTTTGGCGAAATTTGAAAGAGCAATCATTATTATTCAAGCTGGTATTTTTTTGAGATTTTATTTTTCATTCTTTTTGGCTGTTTTTTTGTGTTTAAAAATTGTGAGCTGGCTGGAGCCTTCATCCCTTGTCTATTTCATACAACGCCCGCCCGCCCGCCCGGTACTCAATGCTTTACAAGGTGATTAATTCAAAACAGTTGATGCGCACACTTGCCCAGATTTGCATTTACACTGTGTTATTTCTTATCTATAGGTTTCCCAATGTAGCTGTTTGTATAGCACTGATGGTGAACAAACGCACTGAAATAGGAATCGTATATGATGTACTGCACGATAAGTTATTCACAGCACAGCCGGGCCGTGGTGCTTTCTGTAATGGGAAACGCTTAAAGGTGTCAGGCCATACAGGTCAGCATTTAAAACAAGTTCAAAGGTCAAGAAAAAGTAGTGTTATCTGAGATTTTGAGAATGCATGCATAATTAATTAAATGCAAAATGAAAAGCATTCTTGAGTAATGACTTTGAGAGAGATTCATTGTCACTTCTAAAATTACTGTAACCTAGATTACACATGTATGTAACAAATTCGCAACATTTTTGAGTCGATTCAGGGTAACTCAACTTGAGTGTTTGATTGGTTGAAAACTGAAAAAATGATCACTATAGACAGGTGGTCTTTATACACAGGTTGCTCATGCGTTATACTTTGGGACTGCCTAAAAGTGGTCACTATAGACAGGTGTCCTTACATAGAGGTGCATGGTCACTAACACAGGTTTGACTGTACCACATATTCATATTTAATACATATTTTCTAATCTAGTTAAGTATATATTTTTCACCTTTTTTTTTTTTAGATCTCAATAAATCTTTAGTTTTTGCTGAAATTCCAAGGGATTGCAGTCCGGAAACTGTTCAACGAACTCTCAAGAACTTTGAATCTTTGATGCTTGCCCCGGTACAGGGGTATGTAACCTGTGTGATTAGTCATAACTTTTTGGAAAATATAGACTTGTGGCATGTGTATGTTTGTGTAAACTCGTACGAAGTCGATTACATTTTTTCCTTTGTGTGATTGAAGACAGTTGATTAGCAGTAAAAATCTTTAAAAGAAAAATGCATGTTATGTTTTTTTATTTCTTGAAAGCAAAATTGAATTTTGTTTCAAAAATCCAGTTTATTATTGCAGAATATTAAATATATTTAATATTGTGATGATAGCAATTATATCATATTTATGGGGACACTAATTGTGGCGTGATATACAAGGTTAAACTTCACCTTTTCACAACAATTTCCCTCTGTTCATCACAAATTCACAAAATAGTACCTTTTATAGTCTGCACTTTCCTTCAAAATATTGAGACAAAAATAGCCAAATTTTTTTGTAAAAACTGAAAATTTACTCAAATTTTGTCAGTTGGCTCCAAAATTAGGGTTCATTTCCAGAAATATTGAAGAATTTAAGATAAAAGTTCAGAAAAATTTGGGCATGGAAGTCTGGTGGTGAAAAGATTAATGGCATAAACATTTAGATTGATATTCAATTTGTACAGGTTTCGTGCACTTGGTTCTGCAGCACTAGATATGTGTGCAAGTTGCTGAAGGTTCAATGGATGCTTACTTTGATTATGGTCCGCATATATGGGATTTTGCTGGTGCCGAGCTCATTAGGGAAGCTGGAGGAGTTACCATGGATACTGAAGGTATATAGAGTGATGTTATCTTGTACATATCTGAGTCAGAACTTTCTATTTTATACACTGTCCAGTAGACATGGTGTATATATTCGGCAAGGTTACGAGTTGTGTGTTTATTAGTCTGTGGCAGATATGCGAGTGACTTGTGTTTTGCGTTCTGTGGTTGTCCGGCATGGACATATATATGCACATCTTTAATCATAATAATTTGACCGATTTATTCTTGGCGTGCCTGGACCAATTTTCCATTATAAATTCAAAACCTTTTTTAATTAATGGCTGTTAATGATTAAAATCAAAATTACTGCATTAAACATTGACAGTGATGCATAAATTATGCATGATTTCAAAATATCAAAAATACTGAAATTTATTGACAGGGACTATGACATCTACAATGACTTGTATTTACATAGAGTGTTCAATATGAGATTTTACCGATATTGACAACATTGCTGGAGATCAAAGCTAATAATACAATGAATAATGGAATATTGACAATATTTAGGAATGACGCTCATATAGATTGAACCTTTTTCAATGCTGCATTTAAAGGAAAACAATGTACTGACTACCTTTTCAGCTATGTTCTTGGGATGAAATTGTTGAAAGATTTTCAAACTTTCAGCGCGCTTAGATGTTTGGTTTTACCATGAACATTATTTGAAATTCAGCTTTTCATAAACTGAGACGCGTATAATGGTCATTAAATTCAAGATAGAATCTCATTAAAAACTAATTTGCCTACGACCTTCCTGCTGGCTGTACAGATGTTTATATGGCATTATGTTCGTTTTATTTGAAATTTCGTTTAAAACATACTTAGCTTCTGCAATAGTTTCTTTCGTCTTTGGTGGCCCAACTGTCGGCGTTGAAAGTTGGCATATATAATTGGATTTTTTAATGAAAATATAAGTCCCCAACAATTTTTTATTCTTTTTTTGAAATTTTGAACCTGAAATAAGCAGCCATCAGCCTTTAAATCGCCCAGGGTCATTTTTCAAATGAGCGAATTTACGGCAGAATCCGGTACTAGTATTTTACAAAAATGTCATTATATAGTTTACAATTGAATGGTTGATATAGCAACATATTATATGCAGTGTTTTTCTACATTGTCTTTACCAGGTGGACCAGTGGATTTGATGTCACGTCGTATACTGGTGGCCAGTAGCCATGCATTGGCTAAAGCGATTAGCTGTAAACTTATACATACAGTACTACCAAGAGACTAAAACTTGTATACAACTTTGATTGAATCTCAGGAAAAATGTTTATTTCACTGAACTTTACTGTATTGGCTCTCTATTAGAAGTGTACTTAAAGCCAGAGGGTCACCATCTACGCAGGTGCGGGAATTGAGTCCCAAGCAAAAATATTCATCAAAATTGGAGAAGTGAAGATATCATCACGAAATGAACAAATCTGAGAGAAGTCCACATGTAGTACCTATATATGTAGTATCAAAGCAATCAGACTTGCCAATTTTAACAAAAAGTTGAAATATCATTTTTCACCAAAAATATTCACCAAAATTGAAGAT